TACAATAAAGCATCATACAGGATATATATAGGAGGAAGAAATGAATGGAAGCGGACCCGGGCTGGAGGCCGAAGGGTCCGGAAGCAAACAAGAATAAGGAGCGGGGTTGGCCACATGGCGGCCAGCAATGACCGAGGGTCAAAACAAACAATAACAGATAAATAAAGGAAAGAGCGTAGGGTCGTGATAGCGGCGATGGTATCGTAGTGGTGCTGGACTCGGAGTTGGGCTGGAGTCAGGCACGGGGTAGAGTCGTGCTGGGCATGGTGCTGGAGGCGGACATGGGGTGGGAAGGTTGGTGTGGCTGAGGGGGAGTCGGCCAGGTGCAGGGGAGCCTAGGGGAAAGCGGGGGAGTGAGCAGGGTGTCCTCATGGAGGATAGGCTGAGGTCGGGGCTCGCACTCACACTTGCATAGTGGTAATGGGCTCAGGCGGCATCGGGACGGGCCGGGAACGGGCCGGAATGCATGACCGTGACAGTCTCCACAGGAGATCCCGAAGGTGTGCTGCTCTGTAGGTGGGAATGTGCACGGTGGGTGCGGCGATTGGGGGAGCGGTATTAGGTGTGTGATGATACATAGAGAAAAGGGAAGTCGACCATGGAATAGAAATAAAGACAAAGAAGAAAAAGGGAGAGGAGGAACGAGGAGTGGTAGCGGGGCAAGCAGAGTAGGGCAGTGTGGTGCTGGGTCAGGTGGGGTGTTCCCTGACAGGACAGAACCCACACATGCATCAGAAGTCGAAGCCACAGATGCATTCACCTTGAGACTGATGAAAATGCAGGAAGAGGTGAAGGTGGCACTAGAGCACATGGCGGAAGAGATGGCCTGCTACTATGACTGACACTGAGAAGTAGCGCCCGAGTACAAAGAAGGCGATCAAGTCTGGCTCAGCACCCAAAACTACACCATGGACCGCCCTACCAAGAAGCTAGACCACAAATGGACTGGCCCCTTCAAAATCCTTAAGGTCATATCCCCCACTGCTGTCAAACTCCAGCTCACAGTGCAACAGAGGGGAGTCCACCCAGTGGTATCAGTAACAAAGATCCGGTCCTACTGTCCAGATGGGATTGCCAAACGACCTGCCAACCCCTGCCCAGGCCCCAAAATCATAGATGGAGGGGAAGAGTACACAGTCGAGAAGGTCCTCAACTCCTGCTGGCACCGCAGAAAGCTCTGGTATCTGGTGAAGTTCACAGGCTGGCCACACTCTGAAAACAAGTGGCTCCCTTGTGACAACCTGGCCAACATGTGTGACCGGATCGAGGAGTTCTACAGAGCACACCCAGACGCCCTGGGAAGAGAGCGAGAAAACCCCCTAGCCACTTCGAGGCAAAGCGCTTAAGGAGGGGTGATGTCAGGGCATGCCACTTCGCTCTGCCTGTGCCCTCCCATTGCTCCTCTTTCCTTCTCCTCCCTCTTTCCCTTTCTCCTATGTCTTCCTTCTTTCCTTTCTTTCCTTTCTTTCTTTATACAGACGACCTCTCCCCTTACCCATGTAGCATGGACATGTCCGGTGCTGAGTACTCCGCGTGGATACTGCACTGCTGGATACGCTGCACATCTTCACTTGTACTTCTCCCCTCTGACACTCGGGACTGCCTGTGGAGCCATCCGCAATAACCCGGCTCCACCCAGGCTGATGTGGCACCCCCCATGTGACCCGTTCCCACCTGTATATAAACCGAGCCAAAGCAGAACCGAAGAAGCAGCCTACTGCTTCAGGCAAGCATCTTACTTTAGTTTAGTTTAGTCTTTCATCCTAATAACAACCACTACTGCTTCAGCCTAAGAAGCCAGACAGGGACGCGAGCCCGAGTGAGGGCCATTCGCTATACATTCCTGCTACTCCACCACCGCCCGGACCACTAGCGCTGGGGGCTACGCCGCTACCCCCACCTCTCCTGTACCGTTGTTGTTGGGACAAGTCCGTGCAGGTCAGGCCAACCCTTATCACACATTTCACCCCCTACTGCATCAGGGACTAGGATTGGTGAGTCGTGGTAATAGTAGGAGTTGTAGAGACTGTGTAGGTGGTTCTGACGGGTCCAGAATCGTCGGATTTGGTGGGGTGGTTGAGGAGATATGACTTTTTCTTTATTTTCCTTACTATTTTCATTCATTCACGCATGTGACTTTCCTTTTATATTTGTATCGGACTCTTCCATGACAACTGTACAGACAGTTAGTTAGAGGTTAGACTGAGTATCAGCACCATACTCCCAAGGACCCATACAATCTACCTGACTAGAGAGAGAGACCTACCCCCCCCTAGACCTGAGCCATGAGTCTAGTTGGATAGACCCATTACACTGTCCCTGACAGTATATAAGGCTCCTATGCCAGCTAGGCTAGCTCCCTAGCTTTGATATCGACTAGTTTCCTGGGGAGATCCTTACACACGAACTGATGTGCTGTAACAGGTCTATCACCACTAGACTCGAGACAGAAGAGAGGGGGAGGGTTGGAGTGGTTGCATGCACAGGTTTGTTAACTGGGAGTGGATTCTGTTGTAGTTTCTCATTTCTTTCTCTTTTCTTTTCAATCTGCGCTCTATAAGCGTCACATGACACCAGAGTTGTCCTTTACTGTTTCTACTATCTGTATAAACATTAAAGTCCAACTCAGGGTGTGCCACCAGCTGAGATACAATAGATTCTGCTACTCCTCACTGTCTAGCTAACTATACAGCTGATCACGGTATCACGGAAGAATCCGAAAATGACAAATAAGGAAAGAACAATAAGAAAGGGAAACATCGGGCTCTAGTGACTAGAAATGGAATCAGAAAAATCAGGAAAAATAAGGAATGGAGAACATTGGCTAAGGGTGGTAGAATTGTGGGATTTGGCTTGTTTATGGTACACCAGCAAATCCCTGTTACAGCACAGACTCTGACAGATTGGACCTGGAGTAAACCGGAGTTGGACCAGAGGTAGTGTTGGAATGTTGTGTTGGAGCCAGAGGTAGAGTGGGCTCTCAACAACCAACAGGGGGAGGAGGATGTGGAGGATGTGGAGTTCTGGAGGAGGAGATGGAGGTCCAGAATCAGGAGCAGAGGTCCGGAGTTGTATGGATATGACAGTTGACTATCCTGATATGTCATTGTTTTATTCTTTGAATATTATTTCTCCTACACCAGGCATTCTTATATGAACACCTAGCCTCTGGGTTCATTCATCCTGCCACTTCTGCTCATGCAGCACCAGTCCCATCAGCAAAAGGTCCTCAGGGTTTCACTTCAAATGGTTTGAAAACAATTGAGTTCACTTCTGAACTGAATTGAAATGTGACACCTTTACTAAAATGCTTTGGGAAATTGGTCAATTTGGCCAGTTTCATTGTATTAGAAGCAACAGGATCATCAGAAGTGTCCAAAGTTGACCACAACAATTTCCTGATGCCTCTTCCTCTTCATCCGCAAGAAGGAGGGATCCCCCTGTCTTTGTGTCAACTTCTGAGGGCTGAATAAGATCACCAAGAAAGATCATCAAACCTGAATGCAGAAGCTGAAATCGCAGGTCCCCTTCTCTGAGAGCTCATAGAGCTATATTTGCACACAGGGGACTATTATCTAAGATAGATGACTTTCAAACCCCGGTACTATCCAGATGCAAATTATTGCGAAATTCGCATTGCTGCTCATCCCCCCCTCAACACTTTTGACACCAATGTGGCACCTGAAAGGTGTAGAGGTGATTCTGTTTTATATCTTCTCAGTTTCCAAATGTTGATATACATCATTATTATTAAATGAATTTCGATATACTTCATTACATCGGAATCCACATCTCTTTCACTCCCTGACCAGAATCCCGCAAAAAAAAAAGACCCCCCATTTCAAGTTTGCCAGCATGGGCAGTGTGAAACTGTATTACAGGGATTTCCAGATCCAAAAAAGGAAGCCATGCCTTCTCTACCCTTTTGTCAGGGCACACCCACCTGACCCGGGTCCACCGGGTCCACCCGGCCACACCTCACCTGCTACCCCACTGCCCATCCTTCTCTTTCCTCCTTCCCCCTCTTTCTCTCTCCCTTTCTTTCCCTCTTCCTTCTCTTCTCTTTATTTCACTCTTCCCACCATTCTCTTCCTGTTTATTTCTTCTATTTACATGGACCACTTTCCCTTGCATCAATGTACTATTGACCCGTCCAGCCCAGACACCCCGGACGGCTCCCCGCTGTGCCCAGCACATGTGCCTGCACCGGATGCACTCGGGATCCCCCACGGGGACACCCAGATGGCTGTGGCTGTCTCCGAGGATGATGTGGCACCCGCCATGTGACTCAAGCCGCATGTACATAAATGTACCTGAAGTGGGAACCGAAGAAGTAACCTTCTTCTCACCTTTTCCACTTCAGTATAAGTGGCCAGGGACTGCTGTCCCACATCGGGCCTGCCAGCACACACACTCACTTCATGCCCCGAGAGGGTCCCTCTGCCGGCACTACATCCAGGCCCCCTCCACCCCGGATGCGTCCCTGACACCTTTAAGCGCTGTGCTCACTCATGCCTGTACACAGGAAGCACCATCGCACAAACAATCCATTGTGCAAACAATCTTGGGGAATACTCTAAGTGCCACTGACTAGCCAAGGCACTATCCATTCTGAGTTAGCAATAAAAAAATTTCAAGCCCGATCTTTCGAAAATATAGCTATTAAAATGGAGAGAAAGGAAAACCAAAACGATCCAACCTATGCTTGTTCAGTAGGGCTTATTTCCCAAGAGAGTAAGACGACATACTCCACCTAGGACACACAAGCATCCAGCATAATCTACGCATTTCAGAGCCTCCCATGCACTTCTTCTCTTTCCAGGCACGACGTAGTGGAGAGAAGAGCATGTCAATAGAGAAGATAATACGAAAAGAGGAAGCTGGATGAGGAACGCCCATCTCCAGCCAAGCCTGTGCAATAGGACGGTACTGCGTTAGAAACTGGTGTAAGGGAGAGTCTATGAGTTTAGCTCTCTCTCACCAATCGTTTATCAAACCTCCTAAAGCACGCCCAGGCCTGTGCCTAACACATCTAACCACGTTGTTGGACCAGTCAATTTTTCGAAACAACCCAACTCGAATGTATATCCCCCAACTCACTGAAAACTGAAGCCATGGCAGTGGCGAGACCGCGCTCCCAAACGCTATACATGTCCAAAATGATTACCCTTTGTGCAAGGCATCAGCTTAGAGAGTTATCTCATTCAATCCCAAAAAAAATAGCTACATACTGGGTAGTAGTAACTAGACCTCCTCCACCGATCCCAGCCAGCTAATGAGCCGATCAGCAAATGAGCGGTCATATTGGAAAGGCCTGGAGAAGCTCACGAAATGAGCCGCAATCAATGTCTCCATGTTCCTCGAGAGACCACAGCCCAACAGACCTAGGACGTGAAGGACGAGAGCAGTTTGATTTGCACCTCTTCGTCCCATCGCGTCACATAGTCTCCCATAGAGCGGATTAAAGGAACAGGTTGCCAAAAGGTAGCTGGTACCGAGCCAACCCACTAAATGGGAAGATGTGAAGTCACTCGAGATGGAGTTTAACAGGGTCGCAATGAGGGTCGCTGCAAGTGCAAACGCCAGAGATGTGTTGGTGCTTTCTGATTCTAGATAGAGTTTCATAGAAGCTTACTGTTTACCGACTGTTAGGGAGAGGAGATGGACAAAAGTTGTCATTGAAACAGATGGTGAAAATCCAAGGTTGTGTTATATAGCTCACCACAAGGAATTTGACCAGCCACACTCCTGCCAGTATGGTCCATCGAGCCCTCCTGCTTAGTTCCAACGGTCCCATTTCATACTCTAAGCGCTCAGGATCGCAATCTTCCTTTGGTACTCCATCTTGTTCAGGGGGCGGAGTGTTTCCCGAGAACACGCAGCGCTGGGACCTGCCATCAGTTTTGAGTCTGGAAATACGTTTGGATGAAGTGCAAAAGCAAGTTCTACTTAAGCGTTGTGATGTGTCCATTGTTTGATTTTTAAATAAATGGTCGGGCTAGCAAAAGTGTTTTTTTTTCACCACGGACACCCAGGCAGAAGGCCTCGTTAGGTACCCAAATTGAACTTTCGATCTCCGGCCTAACAGGCCTAAATGCCTATGAACGTTCTAAGGCTCATTGAACTTTCTCTTTTGTATTGATTTGAACATGTAAAACACTGGGAAGTAAATGGCCGTAAAAACGTTTCACGATGCTAAATACCAGACTCTTCCCTGCATACATTACCATCAATTCATGGTATTCAAGCTGCGATGTATTGTACAAAGGTCAGAGGTATGGACGGCCGGAGTTCGGTTAGTCCAGGCTAGTCAGCCAATTAACCCACCCTATCAAGGGGTGTTTTTACGCTTCAAATAGGGCCTAAACGGCCTATTTCAATGTGGACATCCTGGGACGTCCTGGTGATGCGGCTTGCTGCCAAAAATGGACTGTGGGAAAATATGAGGATGTCCTGATAACTATGTGCCCCGCGATGTTGTACATACAGCTATTTACATAAATAGTAGACAGGAAAATGGAAAAGATAATTGAATATTAAGGGAATTATGGCCGAGGCAGGGGAATGGCCAATGTTTCTCAATGATTTTGAGCATTATACTCTGCCATGGTGCTTTCAAGGGGATTTTTAATGCTTATAAAGATTTTGGAGATTTTACAAGCCATTGTAGATAACCATATCCGGTACTATGGGTAGCTTGAGAGGCTGGCATCTCTGTCAAATCTCCACCGATTTGGAAAATCCATCACTTACAAGTACATACAAGCTCTGGCCAACATTCTGTAAGGAAATGTATAACCTCATAGCTAGGTATCAGAATGAAGAACACACATGTTATGTTGCATGTAAGCATATATATTACCACATTCAAGTTCTAACATGTGTTGTCATGAATATTCACCGAACATGGATTATGTGGGAAAAGGGAAAGAGTCGACATTCAGAGTCTCTCAGGAGCCTTAAAAATATGGAAAAATATCCTGAGTGCCCGTGGAGAAAATTCTTCCTATAGTACCAAGTTTGAGAGAAATCGATGGCATTTTTGTCAATATATTTACAAGTTATGCCGATTGATGGCAACACAATGAATAAAGTTGACGATCTCCACAACGGCCGAACCAAATCTCTCCGCTACAGACTAGTTCGACTCATTTTGATAACAGCTTTCCAATGATACAAAATATGTGTAAATCGACGAAGAAATGGGGGAGAAATGGGAGAAATACTGCTGGAGCAGCCTGATATGAAAGAAGGTCGACGCGAAATCAAACCGTCCCTTTCCATGCCTTTCTTTGAGCTACACTAACTTTTCCTCTCCTCCAGCTTTCCAACAAGCTCAATTTTATTCAAATTGGCCCTGTGGTTCTTGAGGTACCACCATTGACAGGTGCTGTCAAGTCCACGTGAGATTCAGCATGGTGTTGAATCAGAATCTCTACTAATATTTGTCCATTTAGCACGAAAATTGGCATGGTAGGAGAGATAATCGTGCTCTATCGATCGAGCATGAGAACGTTGGGTGTAAATGCATAGTTGTAGAGACCGTCAAGTAAGAAGTTGAAAGTTATGCTGTGCATGAGAATCCTGCTTAGGAACTGAAAATGGTTTCAGAAAAATAGAAAAAAATTAGAAAGAGCGAGTAATGTGGGTCTTAAATGGATGTGCGAATGGAGGCAAGACTGGGCCTGTGTGCTGTGTGGCTACAGTGTAAAATCCATAAAAATAGTTATTTTGTAGTGTATGAACCTTTCCCTGTAGAAACAAACAGAAATAATATGCTATGGTAGCTTCAAGAACATTCCAATTGGGTTTAAGAAATGGAAAACACTAATAAAAGAAATTGAAAAAGACAGAACAATAAGAAAGTGGCCTGGAAACCCAAACTCGTGTTGGAAGCCTCAACCGCTCCCCATAACCGTTCTAACTTTACACCATTCAACTATACTAAACCTTAGCTTTCCAACGCAGTTGGTCTCATTCCAAATGGTGGAGAAATGAGCAAGATAGTATGGGAGGAGCGGGGAATACATTGTGCATTTCCCCTATCTCACTGAATAGTAGTCCAAATGTCCTGAAAGTTTGTGCACTACAATACATGTCCTCAAAGTAAACTTGACATATTTTCTCGTATTTTTTTGACATCTGAGAGGCACTGAACTTTGACCTTGCATGTCATTTCCCACGCATGCCACTCCCGTGCGGTGTTAAGTGAACCGAGAATCACACATTTCTCCATCAGTTCTCAACCATTTGCCATCGGGTCTTTTGCGATAAATTCCTCTCAATCGCCTCTTTATTTCGTACTATTACTCCAACTCATGATTCTGCATGCACACAGCTCCAGAAGTGGATTGTGAATTAAGGACATCATTACTTGAACATTTGAATTGAAAGTGAATTGTCAGGACATCTCAGGACGTCCTAGGATGTTCCCATACAAAAGAGGCCTCCAGGCCCTCTTCAAACGTCCTGAGAACCCCCCCTCTATAGGTCTAGATATCGGTTGTCCAAGGTGGTTAGTCATCGTCGTCAATTGACCTTGTGAGCACGCAACTGCGATCGATGATGGCCCAACGACAGGAATGCATACGTACCATAGGGAAATCAGCCACATACTGAAGAGACCAAAGCAAGAGCGATAATTTGAGTGTAGTAAAAGAGGTCGGTGCCAAGGCAGCATCCATGTAAGCACCGCTATCTGAGACAAGGTCAATGAGGTGATGCGTGTTCTCACAAGCGACATTTTGTGACGTGCTCGGGGATTTGAGTCCACAGCTACTTCAGCTCAATAGTGAGAGCCATGAAATTCAAACACTCCTACCTAGATGAAGGATAAGTTCCTAAATTCAATTCATCATTTTTGGGCCCACATTGTAGAAACTTTGTCACCTCCTCCAACAATGCGTGATTTCCCTAGCGAAGCATAACCAAGAGCTTGATTATATGTTGGTACGGCATGTTGTAGACATTAGTAAACTAGATCATGATTTTGCGATGGGTGGAATTGTCAGGAATGTTTCTTGTTGCGAGGAGCCCCAAGTATGGAAGCTGGCACTTAAAGATGTAAGGGTAGGTGGGCAGAGACTGTGGCGCTTAGACTGAAATCAGACTAAGTTGTTCTCGACAGTTTCCATTCCACTCAGTGCCTTATCCTCTCCACCATACCATACATGTTCTGCAACCTGCTCATTTCCTCCCAATTTGACTATCCTTTCGCTATGCAACTAGCTACTCTTCTCAGAAGTGGCAAGTACTTATGAATATGGACACTGGGCATGCTGCCTCACTGACAGCAATGCCATGAATGGCTTCCATCTGGATGTGTTTCAACGCGTCTTTAACTCATTGGTGAATGAGAAATAGCATTTATTTATTTTAGAAAATCATCAAGCCTCTCACAGCAAACAGGAATCTATGTGTCAGGGACTGCATGTCAGTTCACGACGATGAGGGTGTTCCCAGAATCCTAGTCATTGTTAATGCTGAGGTGCCACCCTCAGCGGAGATAGGAGTTATATACATGGGTACCGCTACCCACTAGAGTGTGGCTACTGTCATATCCGTGCATACCCGACCCCAACCCGACTTCTGGACCTCCACCCTCTTCACCTCCGGAGTCATACCCTACCGCTGCTGTTCCGATACTCACCTCCGGTCCTGGCAACACACCTCCTTCTACCCCCCACGCCACCTCTGCTCCTCCTTCCCTCTCCTCCCCTATCTCCATCTGCTCCGATACTCACCTTGGACTGAACACCACCCCTCTCACCACCCTCCTACTACTTCTCCACCCTCCTACTCCGCTCCTCCTTCACAACACCTCCACCCTCCCGTCACCCTCCTATGCTTCCCCCGTCCGCTCTGATACTCACCTTCGGACCTGACAACTCTCCTTTCCGCCACTCCTTCTCCCTTACCTTTCCCCTCTCTCCTCCCTCTGGTACTCCTCGCCACCCTCCCGCCAAGTTACGACCTTCCACTGCTGTCCCATACTTCATACTCGGACACTGCTTGTACCTTTGCTCTGAGCCTCCGTCATAGTCCCTACCTCGGACTTTGACTCCACCTCAGTCTTAGTCCATTGCATTGGTGACCTCATACTATGTAAACACCATTGCCAATATCCCTCGGACTTTCAACCCCACCTCCATAACCTCTGTAAGCTCCGCAACCCCCAAGCTTCACGGATCACCTTCGGCACTTTCGCCGCTTGTAATGTATCTCTCGCGTTTACCCCTCATCCCTATTTGGACTACTGCTTCTTCCCATTCTAGCCAGTTAGTCATCATCCCCACTTCTCCTCATCCTCCTGCCCCTCTGGGCCTCGCCCTCCCTACCTCCTTTCAGACATATCACAGGTCCTGCCTTATGACCTTCGGTACCGCTCCGCTTCTTCTACCCTTTGTTCCCGTTCGGACATCTTCATTCCGATTCGGTTACCCTTTGTTTTCCTTGTGCTTTTGCCCCCTCCATTATATATATCGGCGCTTGTACATACTCGTTTTGGTTCAGTCCGAAATCGACCTGAAATGCCCCCTAGAGACTTCCTGCTCACCCACTGTGAAATTAAGGACCAAATGGACAAACAGCAATGGCACAGCACTCCGCTTGAGTCGCTGAGGCCA